TCTGTCACAACCACACTCAACACGCCACTGCAAGTGCAACAAAAGCCCCGCGAACAAAAAGCCAATAAGTGTAATTAATTATTGTAACAATGTACAGACGAAAAAAAAGTTCAGTTCATTCAGTAACTCAGGTAAAGGTTGCAACAAAACAACAAACAGAGAGAGAAACCTCCTCCAGACGGCAACAAGCCATAAAGATTACAGAGGGTGTGTTATATTTGCTTTTATTTTGTAAAATAAAAATAAATAAAAAAACATTAAGGAACAGCTTCAATGTAGGCATTTTGTTTTTGATGCAATGCAGAGCTAATAAATTGTCAAACATATACATTAGATTGATTTTAATAACTTTAATGCACTTGAAGTGTGCACTGTGAACTTGTGTAGTATCTTAAAAAAAATAGTATCGGATCGGGACTCGGTATTGGCAGATATTGGCAATATTAAATGATCGGATCGGATCCTTTATTCTTCCCTATCCCTCTCCACGTTATATCTTGCGTTTCGACTTTGGAAATGTATTATATGTGTAATTAAATGCACCATGCAACATCCATGATATGTAATGTGGTGAATTCTGTGTATCCAAGGTGCCCTATATGAATCTGAATTCACATACTGCTTCTGTGTATCTCCAGGTAAACCTCCTCAGGTGGTGGTGAACTCCGTGGATGTTTTCCGACCCTCCAACCCTCTGGAGCTGGCCAAGAGCTTTGTAGGAGCCAAAGAGCTAGGCAAGATGTTGGTGGACTGTGTGAGTACTCATAATCCAGTTCTACAGCTGAAACTATACATTTTTATATTGATTTATCCAGAGTTGTCTTTTCCACTTTTCCACTTTTTGTGGAGCGTTATTAGGCCTAATAACCAGTAACAACTTTTTTTTTCTTTCAGAAAGTGTCTTTTTGTCAGTAATTCTCTCTCCCCTTCTCTCTGACTGAACAGTGTACAGACTCTGATGGCTGTGCAGTGGACAGAGCCAGAGCGTGGTGTGAAATGATCGACACCATTTACCACAGGTCAGCTGACTTGTTCTCTTTTCCTGCTACCCCCGCTGTCTGTTTTCGATTCAACCTGCCCTCATCCGTTTTTCTGACTAATCATCTTTATCTTTTACGTCGTCTTTAATGAGACAAGTATAGCAATGTGCAGTGTTGGCTGGCAAAAAGTAAAACATTTTTGACTGCTCACACTGTTAGCCTGTCAGTTAAAAGAGAAAACCTACATAGGATTCTGAGCTTAATTGTCATAGCCTGAGGCACCTGTCAGGTCAGCAAATACATTAACATGCATATGAAGAACAAAGTTAGCTTTTGAGAGCCTCCCATTCATAGTTGAAGCCAGTATTTCTATCAATAATGATGATAATTTGCAATCAGGCTTAATTGTGTAGATGTGGAGATACACCACCTGAAGGCTTCAGAAAAGAAGGAAAACAAGTGCCATCACATAGTATTTTAACCCTCAACAGTCTGATCATACTCTGCAGTCATATCAAGTCCAGTGGCTGAGTTAATGAATCCACTCAGCCACTTGAGCTATGCAGCACTTTATATTCAATTATTCATTATCTAATATTGCTTTATTATTTCTAAAAGTCTTTGAAACTCTACAAATCACTGTGTTTATTGTCCTCTCTCAGATTGAGTCCCCAGTTGTCTCAGGAGGTGATGCTGGATGAGGTGAGTGACGCAGTCTTGGTGGACATGCTGTGGGAAACCCAGATGTACATGTACGAGAACAGGGAAACCCTCCAGTCCCTGGCAAAGCTGCTACTCGAAAACTGAAAAGAGAGGAACATCACAAGGAGAGGCTACGAGAGAAGATGGCACTATGAGAGCAGAAGAGACGGAGAATACGAGAACAGAAGAGAGTCCTGTGAATAAAGTCAAAGACAAGAGTGACTGGACGGGGCACAAAGATTAGTGAGCCATGTGTCTGATTCAAGACTGTAACGTCTGTGTTGGTGTGCTCTTTCTTTAAGAAAAACAGCTTGAGACGACGTGACCACACTGACTTTCATATTCACGCTGAAATGACAGCACACAGCAGTAAACGGGAAACAAAACCGACAGTGAAATATAACACGAAAAATACAACTGACTTATCGTAGCCTATTGAAAGGCAAGTAATGTAGCATCATGTGACCTTATCACTGACCTTATCACTATCATGGTTCATTAAGTTTTGTATATAAATCAATAAATGAGAGCGTAAACTATTCCCTTCTTTAGTATGTGAATACAAGATAAATGTTGGGGGAAGTAGCATCAACCAAATCAAACTAAAAGTAGCACAGACTGACTGTCGCCCACCCACTTCCCATTGTGTGGAGTAACATATAGTCAGAGCCTGTTTGAATACAGTTTGAATTGGTTGTGATAAAAGTACTGATGCCTCCTTCCTCCTTCTCTTGTTCCTTTTTTTTTTTTCTAAACCAGAGGAGCTACAGTGGCACTGAATATACTGACAGTTTCCGTAAGGCCATATGATCAAAGGGACCCTACAGTACCACTGCAGAAACTGCAGTGAACTGTAGCACAGCTTGGACGAACCAGTTCTGCCTTATGTCTGTCTGGGACCCAAATATGTACCTTTTTCTTCTCCACAACACATTGTCATGCCATTACTGTCTACTCTCATTAAACACGATATTTAAGTTTAAACACAGTGATAACTTGCTTGCACACTTTACACTGTTACAGCCTCTACTATCAAACTGGACTTAAAAACTAGACTTGAATTTTCAACTTACTTGAAGTACAGAAACATGAGACCAACTGCTACTTGCACAACATAAACTAGAGGTTACAAATTATTTCCTATGTTTTTTGTATTTGAATTAATTACTGAAGTGTATACTGGTATGGTAATAAAATATATTAATATGGACTAAACTTGCATCCGTTGTTCCTTTCTTGTGGCAGTCACACTCTAACTTTATTGTCTGGCTTGTAATTTAATTCAAGATGGGTCTGACTACTTCCATATATTTTATTAATTAATTACTGTAGCTATTAAACAATTAATCCATAATTCAACTGTAAAAAGGTTAACTCATGTTACTTTCATTACTTTCAGCTAAAGCTAATGTGGTTAGCAGTAGCCTGAATAACGTAACGTTACTTCCATCCCCCAATAGTTCTAATAACCATTACAAGGTATAGAATATGCTCTGCACCTTTCATAATTTGTAAAAAAAACCTTTGAGTTTTCATTGTGAATTTGTCAGAAAGGTTTTTTTTCTCTTCAGTGCTAACTTAAAAGGCATGGCCTTGGTCCGCTTGCCTGTCCTGTGCACTACACAGACTAACTATGACCTTTAATATATTCCATAGGGACTTAACAAATCATCCCTCAGAAATATAAAAATCCCCCAAGGAATATGAGGTGTGAATGAGTCTTAGGATAATGAATAGTACTGCTGATGAATTTTAACTGATATAAATAGAATTTCACAGATACGGTATTTGTTTGTGGCTGTGTATTGTGTGTCCACTTCTTGTATATTGACACTGTGAAAGTCTGCTGAAGTCAACAAGTCATATCTATATTTTTACAGACTGGAGGGTGGGTTAATCAGAGTAACTAAAAGGACCTGGTTTGACATTCTAAAACAGTGAGTGGGTGTCCATCAGCGCTCTCAAGTGTGCTCCTGTCCATAAGAAGCTGGATGTCTGCCTACTCATTCACAGTAAGATGGCATAAATTAGTTAATCAATGGAAGACCCTAAATATAAATGCAAGGCAGAGATGATGAGCATAAAAATATTCAACAGGTGTGTTGTTACATTCAGTTGCTTTATGTTTATTTTCTGTACAGATTCTAGGCATCCAATATCTGGCCTTATTGTGCTTGAAAGTAAAGAAAATGCATTAAAATAACCTCCCATTATGGAAATGTTCCCTACAAGTTTTATCAAAATATACTAAAATATAATCAATCAATCAAGTAAATTAATTAGCATTGCACAACACAAGGTTGTATAATAAACGTTTGCAGGTCCTTAATGCTACACAAAAGATAATCAAATTCATAGAATAACATAAAATAAAATACTTATACATATAAATACACATATACACCCAGGAAATAATTCTGCAGTGCCTCATTTAAATTTATATCTGGGGCAATGTAAATAGCAGGAACAAGATGGTGAAAAAAAGTCCACTTTGACTGCGTTTGAGAACAGAGTATCATTGATGTAAACACAGAGTCCACCTCTACTCATCTTGTGCTATGTTGGCTTGGAACATGGTCAGCAGCCTTAAGTCCAAGCTGGGCTGGCATGTCCCCTATCCAACTTTCTTTCCTCTCTTCCTGGAGTGACAGCACCCGCTGTGGTGGAGCTGGTCCCGCTGATCTGGCTGGGTGGATCATCTCAAAGTCTGCTGCTCTTTAATCCGAACCCCAATGGCATTATTTTACAATGATTGCAGGCTATTCCTTGTCTTAGGTGATTACGTGTTTCAGCAAGTAAAAAGCCGAAGCTGGATTTCAAACCAATAACAAAAGAAGGAAAGTTTGGCTACCGGCCCCGCAGCCATCTTTAATTGTGCAGCACCGCCAATAGTCAAAAATATCCTAATCCGTTCCGATTTAACAATTTTTACTTAGCCCTATAAAAATCAAACCTAATCAGACATTATTGAATTATGTCAACCTGTAATGGGCTACATAATTCTTACAGTACATCCTTTAAATAGAGTCTGAATGAGATGTAATAGCAAGAGATGTTCACTTAGGTGTCGTGTTGGGTCTTATGTTGACAACAGCATAGGGGACTTCCTCTTGAGGCTGATGTGGCTGTACTGTGCTGTAGAGAGGATCTGCGTGGTTCTGATTGAAGCAGACTTCGCTGTAGTGAAGATCATCCTGCTCTGTTGGTTCAGCTGAGATTTCATCATACACACGGACAGGGTTTAGCTGATGAAGAGACAAGATACATAATACTAAGTTTTAACTGATTCTCCTGAGCAAATCTGTATAAATTGATTCTAAGTAGGGCTCAATTAGAGGGTATTTTTAGCACAACATAGCAGATACTCAGTGGATGGAGTAGCTCTTGGATACCTTAGTTAGAACAATTGTGAGAAAACCGAATTGTGTGTCAGCTTTTACAGACATAAAGAGATCACTAGTAGATGTCTAATGTTTTACAGAAAAGTGATTGGCTTAATACGGACTGCTGTAGAAAAAGATTCTATTTTCTGTATCACCAGAATTACAGATGTAGTTGAAAAAAATTAAATGTTATTTGTGAGTTGAAGCTGGTGTTTTTTTCTGAAGGGAAGCAACAGAGAAGATGGTGATTCAGATTATTTTCTTTACCTGCTCCTGGTTGTCTGAGGTTTCTGTTCTTGGAGACTGGCTGGATGTCCTCTTTCTTCTGGGTAATAAAATGGGTGAATATAAAAATGAATAGGTGATGTCAGGTTTGTGTGTGAATGAATGTGTGAACATCATTGCTCTGAAACAGGGTTGCTCACCTAATCCACCAGAAGACAGTGAGAGGTATTATAACCAGGAGAACAGC